CGTGTCAGAGGCCAACATCAAGGTTGGGGAGAACGTTTCAGAGGTGACCCCCTCCCGGCCACGCTGGAGTGTCCACGGCCACGTGTCAGAGGCCAGCATCAAGGTTGGGGAGAATGTTTTGGCTGTGGCCCCGTCCCGACCTCGCTGGAGTGTCCACGGCCACGTGTCAGAGGCCAGCATCAAGGTTGGGGAGAATGTTTTGGCTGTGGCCCCGTCCCGACCTCGCTGGAGTGTCCCCATCTCTCAGTCTCACACAGCTCTGGACACAGTCTCAGAGGAAGCTGAACTCGCCACTTCTGGGCTCGGCCAGGGTCCTTCTGGCCATGAGGTCCAATCACACCTGCACACTCAGAGCCCCTCCCTGGGACAGCTGGCAACAGAGACAGTGCCAGCACTGTTGGGTGCTTCCCCACTGCAGGGGTCCACCCCAGTCAGTGTGGAGGACAGAGGTGTCCAGGCTGAGTCCTGTGCTGTGGCCAGTCTTGTCCCCGTCACCCTGGGAGATTGTGACTCCAAGGATCATGGTTCTGAGGGTGAGCTGAGGGAGGGAGTGGTGGCTGGACGGTCATGGTGGGTGGGTCACAGAGAATGCCCCTGTGGGGGTCTAGGGCCCAAGTGGGAACGGGATGGGGGACGATGAAGTCATCTTCTAGTGCTGGTCAACTAGGCTGGGCCTGACCTTGGCCGGGACTCTTGGGGAAGCACCCATCCTATTAAATGCTCAGCAGGTTTGTGGCCCTGACATCCCTCCTTTCTCCTCATTGTTGGCCAGGCCCCAACAACAGTGGCAACAGCCCCTCTGTTCCCTCTCCAGGTTGGTCGAGTCCACAGGTAAGAGGCGGCCAGCATGGGCTAGGAGGGAGGGGGTGATGAGGGGGAGCCCATGTGCCCTCACCCTTGCTCCCTCCCCCTTTGCCCTGGCTGCCCGTGGTGGAAGGGCTGCTGCTGACCTGGGTGACTCTTCAGGCAGGTGGGGACACCCGGGCCCCCCTTGAGGGCCTGGCAGAGCGCTACCATCTGGAGCAGTATCCCGACAGCTTCGAGGCCTTGTGTGAGTGGACCTGCCCTAGCGAGGACGGGGAGTCCCCAGGGCTGGCTGTCCCCTGACAGACTATCACCATCTCCCTTCTCGCAGCTGAGCCTCCGGCTGCCCACCTACTGCCCCATATCCTGCCCCGCTCCTTCTCCTTCCCCGCGGCCCCCGGGGCCCAGCCCGGCACAGACGAAACCACAGTGCAGCTGAGTGAGCTGCTTACGCTGCCTGTGCTCCTGAAGCGCTCGGTGTCTGCTCCGCTGGCGGCCCAGTGAGTGCCCTGCCACGCCCCCCATCCCCGTCCCGTGTTGGTTACTGCCCCTGCCTCCCTTCACTCCACGCTTTCCGCTGCCCTGTGCTTTCCACTCCACTGTCCACAGTGCCTGCCACCCGCTCCCACCCCACTATCCACATCCCCACTGCCCCTACCTCCCACCATCCACTACACCCTGCCTCCACTCCACTGTCCACCGCTTGCGCCCTACCCCTACCCTACTGGCCACACCACTCATTTCTCCCCGAACCCTGGTCCACTGGCCCCTGCCTCCACTACTGTCTACACTGTGCACTGCCTCCTGCTTCCACTCCAGTGTCCACATCACCCACTGCCCCTGCTCCCTCCCTACCCCTGCCTCCATCGGTGGCCCTGCAGCGTCTCCCTGGTGAACAAGGCTGCGGTCGACTACTTTTTCGTGGAACTCCACCTGGAGACGCACTTGGAGGCCCTGCGGCACTTCCTGCTGATGGAGGATGGCGAGTTTGCACAGTCCCTCAGCGACCTGCTCTTTGAAAAGGTGCCACGCTGGAGGTGTCTGGGCTGGGGGATGGCTGGTACAGCCTCAGGTGGCACATGTGGGGCCATCCTAATGCCCTGTGTCTGCAGCTGGGCTCAGGGCAGTCGCCTGGGGAGCTCCTCAACCCGCTGGCACTGGGCTCGGTGCTGAGCAAGGCCCTGCAGTACAGCCTCCACGGGGACAGCCCCCTGGCTGCCAACCTCTCCTTTGCCCTCAAGTTCCTGCCTGAGGTGTTCACGCCCAACGCCCCTGACGTGCTGAGCTGCCTGGAGCTCAGGTACAAGGTCAGCACTTGTCCTGCTGGGGGGTGGGGGTGGGGCCCGGGGCAGGGGCCTGATTTGTGCCCCCCTGCAGGTGGACTGGCCCCTCAATATCATCATCACTGAGAACTGTCTGAGCAAGTATGGCCGCATCTTCTCCTTCCTGCTGCAGCTGAAGCTCATGATGTGGACCCTCAAGGACATCTACAGCCACCTCAAGCGCACGGGTGGGTGCCCCAGCCCCGCCCCCACACGCCCTCTGGTCCTCTGCCCTGCTTCCCCTCGGGTTCCCCAGCCCCCCACTCCTGCTCGGGTCCCCCTCCCTTACCATGCCACCCCCCCCTCCCTCCGTCTCCATCCCCCCCTCCAGCACTGGTCGGCCAGGCGGCCCGCTCTGTGCAGCTCCGGCAGCTGCAGCTCTTCAAGCATGAGATGCAGCATTTTGTGAAGGTCATCCAGGGCTACATCGCCACCCAGATCCTGCATGTCACCTGGTGTGAGTTCAGGAACAAGCTGGCCTCTGTGGGCACCCTGGAGGAGATCCAGCGGGCCCATGCGGAGTACCTCAACAAGGCTGTGTTCCGGTGAGGCTGCCGGGGCAGCACGGGGCGGGGGGCTGCCCACAGGACACGGCCATGGTGAGGCCGCCCTTCAAGTACTGCCCTTCACAGGGGGCTGCTGACCGAGAAGGCCGCGCCCGTCATGAACATCATCCACAGCATCTTCAGTCTGGTCCTCAAGTTCCGCAGCCAGCTCATCTCGCAGGCGTGGGGCCCGGCCGTACACGCCCACGGTGCAGAGCACCCCAACTTTGCCCTCATGCAGCAGTCCTATAACACCTTCAAGTACTATTCCCACTTCCTCTTCAAAGGTGAGGCCCAGCACCTGCCCGGGCCCACGGTGTGGGCTGTGTGTGTACTGACCGGTCACCCCCAACCACCTGCCCTGCCCTGCCCTGCAGTGGTGACCAAGCTGGTGAACCGCGGCTACCAGCCCCACCTGGAGGATTTCCTGTTGCGCATCAACTTCAACAACTACTACCAGGATGCCTGAGCAGGGGCCACAGGTTTATTGGGAAGGGAGCAGGGGCAGAGGTGGGCACCCGGGATCTGTCGAGCGTGAGGGGAGCTGGGCTTGCCCGGGGCACAAAGCAGGGGTGTGCTATGGGAACGCTGCCTCGTCCACATCCGACAGGGACAGGTCAGGTCTGACTGGATGCCACTGTCACCATGGAGAGATGGCGTCTCAGGACAGGCAGCGCAGGGCTGGTGCTCGGCTCTGACCCGAGCAGCTATGAGGATCACGTGACGCACAGCTCAGAGGCCCAGGGCGGGGGCCTGCTGCTGTAGGAGCTTCCCACGGTGGTCCCCTGGGGCTCCTCCACCACCTGGGGGTCCTCCTCCATGCAGTAAGGGGCCTCCAGCAGCTTCAGCACCCGCCGGACCTGCAGAGCAGCAGGTGAAAGGCTGTGCGCCGGCACGACCCTCAGCCGAGGGAGGAGGCTACCAGCACCGCACCCCACTTGCCTCTGAGAAGTCTCCGCTCTCAGCAGCCTGGATGGCGTTCTGGGCAATGTAGTTCCGCAGCACGTACTTGGGGTTGTTGGCGAGCATGAGGTGCACACGCTCCGCCTGCCAGGCCTCGGGGTCTCCAGCACCCTCCATGTCCTTCTCCAGGCGGGCACTGGATCACAGGAGGGCCGTGAGATCCGCTCTGCCCGCCCCCTGCCCCCTCCGCCCGCCTGCCTCACCTGTACCCCTGCAGCCACTCGGTCCAGCTCGCACGGTTCCTGGCCTGCAGCTCGGCTGCGCTCAGCTGCTCCAGACGCGCGTGTTGCTCCCTGCGCTCCAGTTCTCTGGCCAGGCCAGCCTGGCTGCCCACGAGCGCCAGCAGCTGGGGGTTGGACTGCGCCAGCATCAACATCACGGAGAGCTGCCTGGGGGCGGGGGCAGTGAGCAGGGCCCCAGGCCCTGGAAAGACTCCCATCCTTTCTGGAGAATTCCACACTGTGCTGCAGGAGGCTGAACCCTGGCCTGTGCCCTGGGCGGCCTCATGTTTACTGCCCTATAATAAACCATCTGCTTGGCCGTTGTCGCCTGTTCCCGGCCCTTCCGTCAGGAACCCACAGCCTTCCTCTGAGTGTACGGCCCCCCCCCAGCACACACCACCTGCTCCTGACCGCCCATGGCACCTGGAACATTGATGCTGCCCCGGCATGTCTGTCCCCACGTGAGCACGGAAGTGGGGACACTCAGCTTACCGGGGATCCATCTGGGGTCGCAGTGCCCTCTTCAGCTCCTCCAGGGATGCACACTGCTGCAGTACCTGGTCCAGGAAGGCTGCGTGCTCTGGCGAGGAGGGCCCTGCCCGGAAGCTGCTCAGCAGGTAGAAGGTGTTGGTGAAGTCGGCCCCTGTGGACCAGCAGATGCTCTAGCTGGCTGGAGGGCGCCCTGCCGGGCTGAGCCACCCCGGCCTGCCCAGGGCTCAAAGGGCAGCTCCCGGGGGGGTGTGCACCTGTCACGTGCATGGTGTCCAGAAGCTGGGCCACCAGCGCGGGGTCGTCGTCCAGCTCCACCTGCAGGCCCAGCTTCCGGCGCATCTTCTGCAGGTAGTGCCGCTGGAACTCGGCATCAAACTCCTCAGCCACCACGGCCATCCCCACCTCCAGGGGCAGCTCGGGAGCCAGTGCCTCTGCCAGCTTCTGCAGGTTCCACTTACACACCTCTGGCTGCTTGCTGTACGAGTAGCGCCCCCCACTGTCCGAGGCATTGCACACGTGGTCAGGGTCATACCTGTGCCAACAAGATGAGCCAGGCCACTCCCCACACACAGCTGAGGGACCTCCTTAGTCAGGGAGACCAGCGTCCTGAGGCTCCCACCCTGGGTGGTGCCCTGCTGCGCCGGAAGCAGCCCCACCTGTCGAGGAAGCCGAAGGGCCCATAGTCGATGGTGAGTCCCAAAATGCTCATGTTGTCGGTGTTGAGCACGCCATGGCAGAAGCCGACACACTGCCACTCGGCCACCATGCGGGCTGTACGTTTTGTCACCTGGGCAGGACAGTGTTCCTGGGTGGCTGCCCCCCACTTCCCACCCTGGGCCCCACCACAGAGGACTTCTGGGGATGGGAGAGACACCAGAGTTTGACCGCACAGGGCTGCCAGTTTCTCCCCTGCCCAGCCTGCATGGCCTGGTCCCCTCCCACAGTGGGGGCTGCAGATGAGAACCACATGCTGGCCCCTGGCCATCAGCAGGAGGGGCAGGGACAAGAATGGCCCAGAGGGCCCTAGCCCTGACCCAGAGATGGCTGAGTCTGCCCACCTCCCTGAAGAAGGCAGCGTTTCTCCTCTGGGGGTCCTTGGCGTAGGCTGCCTGGATCTCAGGGTAGAAGGAATCAATGACGTAGTCGAGCATCTGGACCCTGATGTCGTTCCTTCCGACGCTGGGCCCCTCACGCCCTGTGACACTGTCTGCAGGCTTGAAAATCTCAAAAGATCCAAACCTGGTGGGGGGATATACCCAGCTCTGCCAGAGCCCAGGCCACCAGAGCCCAGACCCTGCCTCCCTGCTGCCACAGGACCAAACATGTAAGCTGGTTCACAGAAGACATGGGCAGCTCCCTGCAGTGGGTGTCAAGTGCAGGGACAGCTCCTGCAGGCACCTTGTAGGGGGATTGCTGCTCAAGCTCCTGTGTAGGGGACAGCACAGCCTCTACCCTGAGAATGACCAGGGCAAATGCCAGCGGTCGGCTGGGGGCAGATCCCCCTCTAGGCTGTGCCGCTCCTGCTGAATCCTAGCCGTTCAGGAGAGGAACTGCATCCTAGTGAGAGATGGCAGGCAGGGGACCTGTACCCTCCTGACACGCTTAGCTCTGTGACAGTCGGTGACGAGCCCTCACCCCAGCCGCCTGCCGGCGCCTCTGAGGCTGCAGAACCCGCGTTACCTTATGAAAGTGGGAGCTATGCGCAACACCACCGTGCACTTTTCAGGCTTCGGGTTACCGTCGTAGAAGACATCCCGCACGACAGTGCAGGCTGACGTGACACAGGCCCCGGCGCGGGTGCTGGGGATCCCCAGGTGGGACATGGCCTCGCTGCACAGGAACTCCCGGATGCTCGAGCGCAGGACCTTGCGGCCGTCAGCCTGCCTGGAACCAGACAATGCCCACTGAGGTGGATCCTGGCCTCTGGTGACTTAGGCACCCAGCAAGCACAGCTGACAGGGCAAGCCCCTTCCCTCTTCACATGGACACACTCCCGGCGTGGGGAGCCAGCCACTGCACATCCAGACACAGGACGCACAGGCTGTCTCTGAATAGTGAGCAGGTGGCCGTCCCAGGCACAACACACAGACCCTAATGGCTTCAACTCCCATGGAATCTCTCCGACTTTTATAAATCAGAGCAGAGGACGAGAAGGAATATTGAAATGGCACTGAGTAGCCACACACTGTCAAATGAGCAAACCAGCTCTGTGCTGGTCAGAGTGCAAGCAGGGAGGTACACTGCACCTCACATACTTAGGGGGTGTTGTCAAGAGGGCCAGTTCTTGGAAAGACAGCCTTCCTGCTGGGAAAAGTCAGGAGAAAATGCTGTTCAACAGGATGGATGACCACAGTAACTGCTGTGGGGGCCAGAGCGTAGTGAGCAGGGGACAGGCAGACAGGGAAGGGACTGAAGCTGTCAGTGACTTCCTCTTGTTTGGATCCACAGTTCATACCTTTGCTCCCAACAGTCAGGAGATCAGCAGACGTACTGCATTGGGCAAGTCCACTGTTGGGGACCCCCCAAAATGATGATGAGCAGTGATGTCAGTTTGAAGACTAAGGTGCACCTGACTCAGACCATGGTTTTTCAATGACCTGATACACATCAGATTACATATCAGAAAGCTGGATAATGAATAAGGATGGCAGGAAAAGAACTGATACCTTTGAGCAGTGGTGTTGAAGGGTACAAAATACCTCATAGACCATCAAAAGAACAAACAGGAAAGGTGCAGCCAGAGTGCTCCTTGGAGGCCAGGATGGCAAAGCTTAGTCTTTTGTATTTTGGACATGTACCTAGGTCAGGGTATTGCCTGGAAAGACGGAAGTTGTCAAAGGACAGGAAGACTTCCAGCCGGATGGACAGTGACTTCAGCAGTAAGGCGGGCAGAGGCTCAGGCTGGTTGTCCACAGGGCTGCTGTGCTCGACAGCACCTCGAGTCTGGAGCGAGCTGCACTGCTGATCTAAAGCAGTGCCTCGGTGGCGGGTTCATCAGCTGCTCGTGGTGGAAGATGGGCAGTCTCCTGCGGTCCTCACACCCACCCTCCAGAGTTGATTCCATTTCATCTGAAGCAGGAACTAGCGCAGCAACTTGATACTAAAGACCAGGTCTCAGGAGGGGCCCAGAGCAGGGCTAAGGCAAGCCTACAGCCTTGGAACATGAGTCTCCTCTGTGGCCACCAGAGAGGACAGGGCGAGCTGCCCTTTCAGCAGGGGCTGAGTGCTGACAAAGTTCCTTTCAGAGGCTGATTCAGATGGGTGGCAAGCATGCGTGGGCATCATGTGTAAGCAGAGGGTGAGTCCTGGGGGGCCTGAGGCTCACTCCGGTCCCTGAGCAAGAAGTTTGTACCCCAGGACAGACTGACCACTTAAGATTGCCAGGTGGGGCATGTGCATGAAGGTGGAGGTGGGAGCTGGGCCGCCAGGGCCGAGGGGGTGAGAAGGGCTATCAGCCTGAAACCCCAGCTGAGGTTTGTGTGGCACACTGTGGCCTGTGGCACCCGGGATGGTGTGTGGCACCGTGCTGACCCAGCGCCTGCTTCATTGCTGGTCAGGAGTGCCAGTGCTCTGAGAACCCTGGCAACCCGGGTCCCCTAGCATTGAGTCCAAAGGCAGCACTACTGAGGTGTCAGCAATACAGACCGACCCCCAAGCCCTGAAACGCTCTGAACTCAGGGCAACTGTCTATCCTGTGGTGGGTAGAATGGGTGGGCGTGCCCAGTGCGGGCCTGTCCTTCCTCATGGCTCCTGTAGAGGCAGTCTGGCCCCGTGGGCACCCTGCTCAAAAGGCTGGGCAGTTCCTGGCGCATCTTCGGCGCAGAGGCCCTGGCCTTCTGCCCTGTAACAGGGCCTCAATCATGCATGGTGGCCTTCACGCCTGCTGCCAAGGCCGCAGTGTTCCGGCAGTTAGCATTCCCAGCACCTACTCCAAACTTCCAGCTGTGACACCAGCAGAGTGTGCACACACGGCCCAGTCCCCCCAGGAAAGGAGCTTCAGCAGGTGTCCCACCCAGCACCCCTGCCCCCGACAGGCACAAGTAGCGTCCCAGTCCCCACCTGGACAGGCACGAGGGGCGCCCTGGCCCCATCCTGGACAGGCAGGCGAGATGCCCGGGTCCCCACCTGGACCGGCACTAGGGGGGCCCGGGTCCCCACCTGGACAGGCACTAGGGGGGCCCGGGTCTCCACCTGGACAGGCACGAGGGGGGCCCGGGTCTCCACCTGGACAGGCAGGCGGGATGCCCGGGTCTCCACCTGGACAGGCACGAGGGGCGCCCCCATATGGCGCACGCACCTGGAGAAGGGCGTGGGGCCGGCGCCCTTGAGCTGCAGCTCCCAGCGCTCTCCGGCCGCCGGGCACACCTCGCCCAGGTACATGGCGGCGCCGTCGCCCAGCTGGCCGGCGAACTGACCGAACTGGTGGCCGCAGTAGCAGTGCGCGGCCGGCTCGGCGCCCGGC